TAGATTAAGGTATCTACAATTCTAAAATGCTATGGAAAGGGAGAAAACAGGTCCGTGACGTAGGAAGTGGTGAAGGAAGTAGTCAAGGCAAGCTGTCCGGAGTGTGGGAACTGTGTATGACGATTAGATTAAGGTCTCTACAATCTTACAATGCTATGGGAAGAGAGGGAAACAGGTCCAGACGTAGGAAGAGGTTAAGGAAGTAGTAAGGTGAGCAGTGTGGAGTGTTGGAACTGGAAACCGTTTGTAGCAGTTAGATTAATGTATTTGCAATGCTGAAATGCTATGAGAAGGGATGGAAGCATCCCCACGACATAGAAAATGGTGAAAGAAGTAGTAAAGGCTAGCAGTGCGGAGTGTGGGGAATGTTTGAGGCGATTAGATTAACGTATCTAAACTAATACAATTTTATGGAAAGTGATAAAAACAGGTCCACGACGTAGGAAGTGGCTTATGAAGTAGTAAAGTATGAGCATAGTGTGAGAACCGTCTGTGGTAGTTAGATTAATGTATCTTCAATCCTAAAATGCTATGAGAAGGGAAGGAAACAGGTCTATGACGTAGGAAATGGTGAAGGAAGTAGTAAGGCTAGCAGTGCAGAGTGTGGGAACTGTCTTTAGCAAATACATTAACGTATCTGCAATCCTAAAAAGCTATTGGAAGAGAGGGAAACAGGTCCACGACGTAGGGGGTGGTGAAGTAGTAAAGGTGAGCAGTGTTGAGTGTGGGAATGGATTAATGTATCTGCAATGCTAAAATGCTATGGGAAGAGACTGTAGACTGTAGGTTAAAATGATTATGACGCACGAATCAATACATTTTTTTGATACATTCAATCGTTTACAATCGAAATTTCCAACTGAGTTGACAACAGCTGATGTTTACTCCATAGAGGTTAAAAACGATTTTTACTCCCTAAAGAGTAAAAATGCTACTTTAGACCCGCAACGCATGCATTAAAACGACTGTTTTTACTGCAGTATGACAAAAACAATATAATATGAACCCTTGATGACTCCGCTCAATTTTTTGGATGCCTTTGCGAACGCCACCTAGTAAAATTATTAGTTGAATAAATCAAATAATAATCTCTCCAATACACTTAAAAACAAAATTTTACTAATGAACTTACCTGAAAAAATTACTGAAAAGTTCTACATTAACCATGACTTTGACATAATAAATTGTTTGTTTTAATTTACTAGAATGGTAAAATACTAGGTCAATAAAAGATGCTAATATATTAAAATACAGGATGTCCACAAAAGATTAGTACGGTTTCATACCTAAGCCATATCGTTATTTTTTATGTAGATGCTCTACCTGTGCACATTACTTTAACAAAGACACTAAATTTGGTCCTATGTGAAGAAATTGCTTGGCCTTTTCCCCAATTTTAAAACGTTTTTATTAGCTCCCTTTCTTGTCCGGTACAAATTTTGCAATCAATTTTAAAATAACTTCCCAATGAGCTATAGAGACTTGAAACTTTTGAAACATAGCGCACAAATAAATGACAATGCAATCCTACTAATAATCCTACTAATATTATATAATATTATAAATGAGAAAGTTTGGATGTATGTATGTTTGTGAGAAGTAAACACGAAAAATACTGGTCGGATTGGGCTGTAATTTGGCATGATGATAGCTCACATTCCCGATTAACATATAGGCATATTCTTATCTCAAAAATCCTTTTGGGCTCCGCCCCAGTGGCTCTGCAGTTCCCCATGTTAACCTTATGAGTATTCATATTTAAAGGGAATTAAAGAATTTAACCAGCTGTTTCAACAAAAAGAGTTTGTTCTATGATATGCAATTAAAAATTTATAAGATTTACCAACAGGGTGCAGCACTATTATTTTTTTCATTTTTTATGAAATCAGCTAATTCGAACTAAGCAGCAACAAAACATTGTGATACGCAATGAGAACTGTCAAAGTAGGATTGTTTACAGCATGGTTATGTTTTTAATTTCATGAATAATTTGTGATATTTTGCGAATTTTAAATAATCTATCTTTCTCTATTGTGTAGGTGAAGTGGTAGAACATTATGGCTATGGTAGATGTATAATACTATAGCATACCGTAAATTTTGGGAAGCAAATTTTCTTAGACCGTGTCTTCTCACATTGCAACAGCACAGTTTGGATGTATGGATGTATGTATGTTTGTGACAAGTAAACACGAAAAATACTGGTCGGATTGGGCTAAAATTTGGCATGATGTAGCTCACATTCCCGATTAACATATAGGCATATTCTTATCTCAAAAATCCTTTTGGGCTCTAAAATCCCAGTGGCTCTGCAGTTCCTCATGTTAACCTTATGAGTATTCATATTTAAAGGGAATTAAAGAATTTAGCCATCTGTTTCAACTAAAAGAGCTGGTTCTATGATATGCAAAAGCATTAAAAATTTATAAGATTTACCAACAGGGTGCAGCAATATTATTTTTTTTCATAATTTATGAAAACAGCTAATTTGAACTAAGCAGCAACAAAAAACTGTGATACACAATGAGAACTGTCAAAGTAGGATTGTTTACAGTTATGTTTATGTTTTTAATTTCATGAATAATTTATGATATTTTGCGAATTTTTAATAATCTATCTTTCTCTATTGTGTAGGTGAAGTAGTAGAACATTATGGCTATGGTAGATGTGTAATACTATCGCATACCGTAAATTTGAGGAAGCAAATTTTCTCAAACTGTGTTTTCTCACATCGCAAACGCAAAGATCGGGTATAACTGCAATAAGAATTTTATACTTATTCAATCAATCAATCAATCAAAATATCCTTTATTCATTTAAGTACAATTGTACAGGAATAGAATCAGATCTTACAAAATAAAATGTTTTACATTGAACTAAAAATAAGACAGAATATTTATTTTATTTGTTCTCCCAAAACTCTTCAAGAGAATAAGGGGCAGTTTTAATCAAATACTGTTTCAGACAATTTTTAAACTTTTTTGTATCATTTTCAGTTAGAAGTGTTTTTGAAAGATGGGACATAAATTCATTTCCTGTGAATTTTGTTTTCTTTTTATAAAATTCTAGATTGTGTCTATCAATTTGAGATTGAGAAAGAGTGTTATAATTATGACTAATTTTGTTTGATACCTGAGTTTTTGTAATATTATTTGCCAACCCCGTACGAAGGACGGGTCTGCTAGTATTATATAATTTAATTTTCATATTTCCCTTGGGCTACGCCCTATGGGCTTGTTTTTATTAGCTCGCTTTCTTGTCCGGTACAAATTTTGCAATAAATTTTAAACTAACTTCCTGATGAGCTAGAGACTTGAAACATATCTCACAAATAGATAACAAAGCAATATTATATCATTTAATTTTCATATTTCCGACTAAGCAAATTTCCATTTGCCTGGATAGATTTTCGATTAATCTATTAAATTAAACATTTATGTTTAACGAGTACCTAGGTTAGCTGCTACAGGGAAACTAATAAAGTGTGTTTTTTATTAAAATATCAATAGCTTAGTATGAAATAAATAAATCCGCCAAGTTTTGATCAAAATCCAATACTCTAATAAGAGCAATGTTTGCTTGTATGTATGTATGTATGCATGCTTGCACCAAGATCTCAAAAACGGCTCCGACGATTTTCTTCAAATTTTGTAAATAGTTTATTCCTGGCCTAAAGGATACTGCAGTTAGAACTGCAAACAAAAATCTAATTACGTAGAAAAATGAAACTGAAAGGTTTTGGTTATTTATTAACAGGCCATATAAAATATATTTAACATATTTAGACATTAAAGACTAAAAAGTAGAAAATAATTTATAAATATGTGGGGAGAATAAATACTTGTAAGATTTAAAATTAAAAACGTGGGGCATAATAATATAGTTCAATAGGTGAAGATAATAATAGTAAATTAGCATGCGCCCCATGTTTTTTGTTTTAAATCTTATAAGTATTTATTATCATTTCCCTTCCTTGCGGTTAAAAAGCAGTAGGTAATTGATCATAAATACCTATGCTACTAAATTTGTTCTCCCATGTATGCACAAATTCTTATAAATTAATGATATGTACTGTAGAGTTTTTTTTCACTGTATGTGTTTTTAACAAGCTTGCTAAAGCACTGTAAATTTGTACAATTACCGGTATTGAATTTATTTGTTTACCGTAGTTTTACTCAATAATATTACTGCTCTATCAAAAGGTATTATACATCATTGCATAACTAAATATTGAATCTAATTACTGCTTAAAACTATGGCTTTAGAATGCTTTACAAAATCATCACTTTCATGGTGGAAGGAAAATACATAGGTGTGCTTCCCGTCATATGCTGAGTCACCCAGATTGCAGGAAAAAATCAGGTGATTGTATTGCCATATAAGAATATATTTGTTTTGACTTGATTTTTATTGTTTTTATAATTTTTGTAAATGGTAAAATGGTGTTTGCAATCTGAGTGACGTCAACATATGACGGGAACACACACCTATGTATTTTCCTTCCACCATGCATCACTTTTTCCTACATAAAACATACAAATTATTACAACCATTGCTGTTAATTTTTAAATCTCTTAAAGTATTAATTTTTTTACAACATTTGAGATGTAGATGAAGAACTTTGCTCATCGTGTTTCCTGTGCTTTGAGGACAGTTGATGAAGCGATTTTCTATGTCCTAGGTCAGGTGGAATTAAAACTGCATACTTGGCGTATTCTTCCTTTCATCCATAAAATATTTTTACACTAATCATTTACTTCTATTAAATGGGAAAGATTCAAACACGCATCTTTCTTTGTTAATAAGTAAGTGGTTCTGCAGTAAAAAACATCGATAATATTCAACAATTTTAATCACTGTGTAATATCTTCTATTGCTTACACACTAACACACTGACTGGCCTAATTGAATAGTATGGCAGTAATTAATTTAGACTAACAACCAAAATTTAAAAATGTTCTTTTGCAACAGTTTTTACAATCAAAAATTGGTTTTTTGCAGAATGACTGTGGAGGGGATTTCAAAAAGCTTTTAATAAGAATAGTCTACTAAAAAGAACATCTAATCGAAGAACTTCTGGGTTTAAGCACATGCCTATAGTACTGGTTCTATACATTCAGTTTCAATTATTTGTTTAAAGTTTGCTTGACTGCTTTTATAATAAATCTATTTTTCACACTAGTTACTTCTGATGTATCATTCTCCTTAGAATTAGCTGATAAAAGAGAATTAGAAAACTTTTTATGTTAAAATTTTGCACGTTTGCCTATCCTTATGATGAACTATTAACCTTTATTATATTAATTTTCCTTGGTTTTGGTTTTAGGGGGACACGTCGGGCGATTACAAACGCCTGTTGCTACTTTTGGTCTCCTAAACGCAGCTGCATGCATGGCTTTCACTATTAGGCCTTATAGCACAAAAACTTGTTACTTTTATAGTTGTATGTAATATATATCTTTGTTAGTATTGGTGATATTTTATAGATATTTATTGTTCAGAGCTATATTAACAACTCTATGATAAGTGCCAGAAAGTTGTCTATCCCTTGTAGCTGACACATTTTTCTTTTGTGATGTATTAGATGAGTTGTTAAAATAAGGAACTAAGCTAACAGGTAAAAAAATTTTATGTTATTGCAAAAATAAAATAAAATTAAAGACAAAATATCTTACTTAACATTGTTATGGAAGTACATTAATTTAAGACAATTTGATTTGAGATGGATTAAGCAACAACAAAAGAAGGGGTTTTCTGGTTCTGATTATAATGAACTTGTAACTTCAATTGTTACCAAATTTGAAACCAAAATGAACAAATGTGCACTTTTATAGGCTATATTTTTTATCATTAGTTTTTATTTTACTATTCTTTTTTTAAGATTTGTGTTTTTTTTTATCAAATTTGATACTTATGTAAAATGCTAGTAGTTATTATCAAACACAACCAATATAGTCCACATTATTACTTTTATACAAGCAAAATCCCCTTACAACACAAATGCAGGTTTAGGTAGGCCCCTACACACAACACAAATGCAGGTTTAGGTATGCCCCTACACCAGGTTTAGGTAGGCCCCTACACACAACACAAATGCCGGTTTAGGTAGGCCCCTACACCAGGTTTAGGTAGGCCCCTACACACAACACAAATGCAGGTTTAGGTAGGCCCCTACATACAACACAAATGCAACAACACAAATGCAGGTTTAGGTAGGCCCCTACACACAACACAAATGCAGGTTTAGGTAGGCCCCTACACACAACACAAATGCAGGTTTAGGTAGGCCCCTACACCAGGTTTAGGTAGGCCCATACACCAGTTTTTATTCTTTTTTTCTTACTCATTTTCTATACCTCACAACTTTATAAGCCTTAGACATTGTCTGCAACTAAAATAAAATCCTATTTTAAAGTGACTGAAATAGGGAGTGAGAGATTCTGATTCCTTGTATATTTACTTGATTTCAGAGTGATTGTACTGGGGAATTCAAAAGCCTTTTGGTCACAATGCTCGGTTGAGCATCTGTTTGACACATTGATGTCTTAGGTGCCTTGAGGTGACTAGACACAATACCAACATTGAGCGTACACATATTGTAGGTAGTTAGTGTCTATTTATCTTTTATGCAGAAGTAAAAGGTGCTTTTTGAAATATTTTGCCCTATTAATTGTTACCAGACGAGATGTTTTTGAACTTGATCTGAGCACACCTCAGTGTATTTAAATATTTTCATTTATAAAACAAGGGCTCTATCTGTGTATAATTTGCAAATATTTTTATTGTTTACAGATTTCAAAAATTTTGTTTTTAAATTGAATTTATATTTATATATTTATTAAAGACCCACACTTCGTCAAGAATCACGTGTAAAGCTTGTGTGGATTGTTGTATAACTTAAATTTGAGTTGAAGTATAATATTTAATGTAATATATTAAAGCATAAGAAAAGTAACCCCGCTATGCACAATGCACTAACATCTAAGTTTTATAGAGAGTGTTGAAAAAGTCTTAACACACCCAAAAATAAATTAAACGGCATAAGATAAAATGCCGCAAATTTGAACTTGGATAACCGAGTGGAAAATGGTAGCCGTTCAAAGATATCTTTAATCTGCCATTTTAAATATTAGAACAGCTGCCATTTTTTACTCAGTTCTTTTGAACTCAAATTTGTGGCATTGTATTCTACTAATTAAGACCTTTAATTTAATGTGCATATTAACCTATCCATACATTTATGATTTTTCTCCGACTTCTAGCAGGCCACTCCCGAGGAGGTACCGCATAACTGAATTATGAGTTAACATCATAAACGTCAAAAAAACATGAATGTTAAAATTAGAAATTTTTTAGTTGCCCCCTATCCGTTTAAAGGGGGAGGGTGCAAAATTTTGATTTATTGCAAAAAGCTAGAAAAGTCATCATATAATGATATGTTGAAGTTTCAAAATTTTATCTTACGCTGTTTAATTTATTTGTGGGTGTGTTAAGACTTTTTCAACACTCTGTATATTCAACTTTGTAAGGTACAGAACAAAATATTAGTAGAACAATGTATTGGAATATTTGGAAACAATTTGACTTTATTTGTTATGTAGAGATTTTGTTAAAATATAATAAACAAAGCCTGAAATTGTTATATTTTGATTACTGAATTTCAAAAGCATTACAAAAGAATTTTAAAATTTTCCCAATTTTCGGCTATTATAACCGTCAGATTTATATCAATTATTGGTGTTATGCAAGGTTTTATGGCTGTCTTAGTCTATGTATATATACCTACAGTATACAATACAATTTCATTTATACCTCATATCCTCAAACTATTTACAAATTAAAAATTAAGCAATTCTTAGTCAATTTTTCTAAAAAACTAGGCCTCCCTACAATAGTTCCTAGAGGTACAAACAAGTCTGATAAAATGTCAACAGGGGTTTGAATAGGCTAATATATTATTACCATGGGATCACATCATTTGTCCGAGTTTTCAACTGTCCGAGTTTGTTAAAAATTACAAAATTTCATTTTGTGTATTACAAAATTATAAAATTATAAAATTAAATTATTATTATAAAATTAAAATTATTATAAAATTATTATAAAATTATAAAATTATAAAATTACAAAATATTTGAAAAATCATTTGTCCGAGTTTTCAACTGTCCGAGTTTTTATTATTAACTAATAATAATTAGATAAATCAACTGTCCGAGTTTTCATTTGTCCGAGTTTATTAAATTATTTTAAAAAATATCGAAATATCAAGTGTCCGAGTTTTCAACTGTCCGAGTATGGCTTAAATAATAATAATATTTCGTTAAATCAACTGTCCGAGTTTTCATTTGTCCGAGTTTTTAAATTATTTAAAAAATATCAAAATATCATTTGTCCGAGTTTTCAACTGTCTGAGTAGGGACAACATCAAAATGTGACACTGCGCGCCGAGACTAGCGTGTCTAAAGCGCCTGTTCATAAGTCGATGTGAACCCCTTCTGTGAAGGAGTCAGGCATTGTGCGAGCCGCGAGAGCCCCTCACGTCGAATTAAAAAAATTATTTTATTTTTATATAAGACTAATTTTACTATTATTAATTATAAAATTAAACTCTCATCACCTAACACAACCAACCAAACTTGCTGATAATATAAAATACCCCCGCCATCATTATTATATTATCAGCAAGTTTGGTTGGTTGTGTTTGGTGATGACAGTTTAGTTTTATAATTAAAAATTGTAAAATTAGTCTTATAATAAAAATAATAAAATTTTTCTTAAGTCGACGTGAGGGCCTCTCGCGGCTCGCACAATGCCTGACTCTTTCACAGAAGGGGTTCACATCGACTACTGAACAGGCGCTTTAGACACGCTAGTCTCGGCGCGCAGTGTCACATTTTGATGCTGCCCCTACTCGGACAGTTGAAAACTCGGACAAATGATATTTTGAAATTTTTTTAATAATTTAAAAACTCGGACAGTTGATTTAACGAAATATTATTATTATTTAAGCCATACTCCGGACAGTTGAAAACTCGGACACTTGATATTTTGATATTTTTTAAAATAATTTAATAAACTCGGACAATTGAAAACTCGGACAGTTGATTTATCTAATTATTATTAATTATTTATAAAAACTCGGACAAATGATTTTTCAAATATTTTGTAATTTTTAACAAACTCGGACAGTTGAAAACTCGGACAAATGAAATTCACCCATTACCATGATTTTGATTGATTCTTTTAACTTTCATATGGTAGGCTATTTATTGTAATAGGCTATTGTATTTTTTTCTGCTATTTTTAGAAATGCAATAAAATATTTACAAAGAATTCTGTGTGTTTATTAAACCCATATTTTTAAAATTTACTTAGCATTCACCTTCGTTGTAGCTTTGATTATAATACAACTTCAGTATCCAATAGTCAATTGTTGTAGCTTATGCTTGAAATTAAGACCTCTAGGAAGGTCCTTATTTTGTAGAAGATTAATTTGTTTTTAAACAATAGTATTATCATACTATACTAATTACAGTGTGTAAAGATATTTTTATAATTCATTGTTATCAAAAGGTTGTACAAATTTATTAGTTTTGTTATGTAACCTACCTTTAGTTCTCTAAAACCTGGGATGTTTGGTTTTTAAGAACTGAAAAGTTTATAATTTAATGGTTGGTTAATGGCAATGGTTGAAGCTCCGGAAGTCCATGTCCATTGTTGAAATAATGTACATCTGGTTAATTCACATAAATGACACTTGCCACAGTCATTTTGATTTTCTTTGGATAATTTTGAAAAGTAATACGGTATTTAAGATGTTATTATTATATTGTAGTTTTCTTACAATTATATATTATTCTAAGTAAATTAGATTATTGTTGGTTTTTGATCAGTACAGGATGGATATGGTGAGAATTGACATAAATATTATTTTGTAACATAAAATAGGAGGATAATTCTGTGGGGTGATGGGATATTATATAACATTGGATAAAATAATACATATTAACAAGGAGAAGCATATTAAATAACTGATAACACATTATTAGGGGCATTAACAAACATTATAGGAGAAAACACACAAAATTATAGAGAAATTAATGTTAATGATGAATGAATGACATGTAATATTACAATACTAATTACAGTGAGTAAAGATATTTTTATAATTCATTGTTATCAAAAGGTTGAACAATTTATTAGTTTTGTTACGTAACCTACCTTTAGTTCTCTAAAACCTGGGATGTTTGGTTTTAAGAACTGAAAAGTTTATAATTTAGCTTTAAATATAATTTTTTCATGATTTGAGAGCCATTTTTGCTTCCTATAAATCTTATAACCTGTCAACAAAGGTCCACATTGCAAACTTGGTGTGGAGAATACAGGTGCAGTAGACCATGTCTTCTTAACTGACCCTAACGGGACCGGACAAGGTTGGATACTCAAAAGGTTGGTTAAAACGGACATGAAGTGCTATTCATTTGGAATTATGTAATCATTATTCTGAAATTGTGCGTGCGTTATTACAAAATAAACTACCCTCATCTCCTTTTCTCTTGTATTGACGACAGAAATGTAACAAATAAACCCAAAACACGGTTAAGTCAAATACTTTCAGTGGAATAAAAGCCAGGCCCCACACCAACTTAGGCTCCCAAATCAGGGCTGTATTCTGCAGCGATTGCCAAGGCCCACAGCCTGGGATGGGACCTCACTTGGGATCTCAAAAGATTTTTTTCTCTCTTGGAAAATAAAAATTAACCAATAATCTGTTAGAATTAGGGGGTACAATTTTCTGAGTTAAACTTATATTCTCACAATCGCCAAAAGCATCTGCAAAGATTACACAATCAAAAATAACGACACCCAGCGATCACAGGTGACAATAATCAGATCTTGCAACCGCAAAAGATAATCACGATTACTGGATTGCTCCGAGACCACAGAGATATTCATGATTTTGCCGTGATATTAGTGATGGGACAAACGACTAATTTCAACTATCCGATGGTTTTGCTTTCATCCTATAGTCTTCAGATGGATGATTCATCCGATGGTTTTTAGTGTAGTGGGGTGGGGAGCGTCCATGCTGCTTCCGGAGACAGATAAAACTATCCGACTAGAGGTAGAATGGATAAACCATCTGTTCGCGCGCCTGATCAGTTAGATAGTTTTGTTATTGTGGCGTTTGGCGTTCCTATCCAGCGCCATGTTTTGGAGAATTTATCCGTGCATGAATAAACAGAAAAATATTTGTTTTGCATGATTAAAGAACTAAAATGTACTGTGAGAAAATTACTTCCCTCGTCTATGTTTTATTTTTATAATAAATGCATTTATTTGTTTATTTTTTATTCGTTTAAGATTATTTAAAATAAATAATTCGTGCTTAAGGTTTGTTATTTGCTATTTAAGGAGACAATTCCCATTTTTTAAGTTGCTTGGTTATCTAAACTTAATTATTTCATCTTTCGATATTTATTACTCACGTAATAATTTTACGCCTAAAAGGTATCAAGGCTGTTTGTACAAATTATTCATAATAACTACGTAATAATATCTGCCCGAATGCATTCAAGCTACTGTTGTGCTGAGCATGAGCAGATGATTCACCTGAGAATGGATGAATAAATAACCCATTTAATACCCCTGTGTAGATAATTAAAAGGTAAACAAATTAATTCATCGTGCAAATAAACGAATATTCATTTCACCATTCAATAATTTAAAGAACAGTTTCAGATTTCAAATAACAAATTCGTAGTTTAAACTAATGAAAATGCAAGACAGATAGTTTTACAATTGGATGAAAGCGTGGAACGGGTGGTTTACAGACAGATAAGATAGTTGAATCGGCTGATTCACATGTGATAGAATGGATAGTTCATCCGGATGAATATTAAAGTAACCATCGGATGAATCGGTTGGCGTGCAACAACCGGATGAATCGTTTGTTTCTATCGGATAGTTCCCATCACTACGTGATATTGGGAGACGAAGATGATGTCCTCGCAAACGCGGAAATTGTTCAGGATTTCGCCAAGATTGTAATAGATAGTATGTCCTCGCGATGGCACAAGATGTTCGTTATTTAACCGTGGACGTAGAATATCGTTTATTTTTTAATCAGTTTAGTGTTCACGATTTTGCCGCGATCGAGGTGGGGATAATGTTGTCCCCGCAATCATGAGGAATGTTAACGATAAAGGCAGGAGACTCAAACTATATCCATGCGACCAAAAAAGATCTTAAATATTCCACCGTGAACGTAGATGTTTAAGATTGCTCCGCGATCTCGTAAGTTAACCACCATAACTTCACGGCCGCCGTAGACGAAGACGCTCACAATTTTTTCATGACCAAGGACCAGGCACGGCCCTAGGGACTTTGCCGCCCTGAGCGAGATCGGCGAACGCCGCCCCCCGGGGGGTCTTGGCATGGAGTACCGCAGCAAGTAAGAGGGGCCCGGGAAAATTTGAGAAAAATAACTTCTCTAAACACTATTTTTAAGCGTTTAGGAAGTGAAATCTGGTGTTAATACTTAATATAATTTTATGCAATTTAGTACTTATGAAATTAAACTTTTTGCTTTAATTGCATGTGGACTAGTTTTTATTACATTTATTTTTTAAGTACTTAGGCTAGGCTTTTCGTTATATGATAACATTTAACATTATGTTTCTCTATCCTTTAATACTGAATATTTTGATTAATACGTTAACGGGACTTGGCCTATTTAAAAAAAATTATTTTAAAGGCGAGTGATAAAATCACTTCGTTGTTCCATTGCCATACCAGCTAACGCCATCAAATTTTTCTTTTCGGGGCGAAAAACCCGATCAGTTTACTTTGTTTCGACATAAAATAACACTCATGAGACACCACGGAATACGAAAATCATAAAAACACACTGGCACAATAATTAACACCAGACGACAGATCAAGCATAGTGTGGGTGACGGGGTAGAGGAGGAGAGTGTCGAACTCTGACTTAATTATGTACTAAAGGTTCTAAGTGTTTAGCACATTTTAAAATTATTTTCATTTCATAAGCTGGTTTATGTTTACAGTTGCAGATATCAATTATTTTTTTGTTTTTGTTTAAAATCTTATCTAAGAGTCGGCAGGACTTTCGGCCATCTTGGAATTCCCCCAAAATGGCAATGTTATTAATTGTTGAAACAAATTACGACATTGTTTATTAAGATAAAAAGTTGTAAAATATCTCATCTTTGCAACTCCTCTCTCTCGGATGGAAAGGAAGCCCATGCTACCAAAAAAATCAATAATAAAGTAAACACAACGTCGTGGGAGGGGGCAGAGAGAGAGAGAGGAATACGTCGAGGTCGAGGTCAATCCCAACCGCTGCAATGTTGCTTTGACGCTGTCACTCGTCCTGGGTAACGTTGTAACAGTAACGTGGTGGCGACGGTTGTTCGATACACAAGCCGAGTGGTTCGTTTTTATATTTGGGCTTAAATTATAATTTTAAATCGATTTTTGAATTGCCGTTTATCTTCTTAGGCTTGTTCTTTGCGTAAAATGTAATATAGATAATTGTACTCTTCACATTCACTTAATGAATTTATTGTTTTATTCGTATTAAAAATTTACTGTTCCCTAAAACTTGTTTGTTGCCCTGGCTCTGCCGCCCTAGTTCCACCGCCCCGGCTTCCCCGCCCCGGCCCCACCGCCCCAGCCCCGCGGCCCTGGGCGACCGCCCGGTCCGCCCACCCCTGAGGCCGGCCCAGCCAAGGACAATATCGTTCTTTTGTGCCGCCATTGCTTAATGCCTAGTAACTTTGAAGTTTTGCTTGTCACTAATTTGTTTTGACACAAAACCTTTAGGCTCTTATTAGACGAGGCAGCCAAGTTGCGCAACCAGCCGGGCAGCCAGTCGCCTGTCTGGCTGCCTAGCGTAGCAACCAGTAGGGCAGCCACAAAATTACCAACTAGGCCAGTCTCTTGTTGACAGTGGAACAGTTCTGTTGGGGAGAGACGCCTTTTTGGTGCAGTAGTTTTAGAGCCATCTCCCTGTTTATTTTTTTTAGATTTATTGCAACTTCCAACCACACTCACTTCACTATTCTCGTTGTTTGCTGTAACATTCACACTCACTTCACAATCAGACGACATTGTTCACCAAAAGAATACTGAGGAAAACAGCACACAATGATGTGACCGGCAGAGATGAACGCACTTCCACGAGTGATGATCTACTACTGATGTGTGGCAGCGGGCGACTGGCTGCCCAGTGTAATAAGATCCGTAACCTACACAGGAGCGTGACCAGACCGAGCAGTCAGTGGTTGCCTGTGCGGTCGCCGGGCTCG